AAAAGTGATGATAAATTTAGTATTTATTCATTATTGGAAAAAAGAAACAGTCGACATAGCAATTGTAGGGGGAAACTTCGAGCACTTTCTCTGAAGTCTCTTGTCACGGACCCTAGTTAGCGGGTTTCATGAGGGCTCTTTCCTGCCCGAACAACGTCCTGTCTGTCAGCTACAGTCAAGGGCTGGCTCAGTCACAAAAGCTCCCTGTCATTTCCGGACAGGATTCCGGCAGCTTCCAGAGCATCAATTCTGTCACTAACACTTATTTCTTTTGAACCTACATAAGATTATATTAACTTAACCAGGCTAGAGACCTTCTTTTTCTGTTAAGATCAACCTTTAGGCCAGACCTGTCCTCACTCGGAGTTTTTCTGCAGGGTCCACTTCAAGGGCTCTCAGCTGCCTTAGTCAGTGACTCGGTTCGTGGTGACCATACTCAAGAACACACAAAAAAAATGTTTCCCTTGCTTAACACTCCATTAACTTTGGAGGTGAATTACTTTAGAGGTGTGCTTCTGCTAAATTATAACTGGCACATTCAGGTCAATTTCCCCTCCTCTATCCATCCTGACATATTTCTCTCTCAGGCAGTAAGAACTGCCACGTCTTTCAGAACACCCGCGTCGCAGAGAATACCTCTGCCAGGTGACTGTTCAGGCCGCCAGGTGGGGGAGCATTCTCAGCTGGCTCCCTTGAAGAACCCCCACCCCCCATGCCTTGCTTTGCTTTTATTACATCGTAAGAACTCATACAACACTGAAGGTGAATCATGGTCATTTTATACACACAAGATACTCCGGGACCTTTCATGGGCTTATATAGAAATGGCATGATATGTGTTAGTGTTTGCTAGTGATAATTAAGCTCAGTTAACCAGCCCATGTAGGGTACCATGTAAAATTGCTTGGACTTGGAAACCAACTGGAAATGGAGATGAGAAAGGTTTTATGTAAGGCTGAGTAGAGTGAGTAGGTGGGTGAAGCCTTTATATGAAAAAGGAATTTCAAAGGGGGAAGGGAGGGGGAAGGCCAGGAAAGGGATTGGAAGGTGGAAGAGCACAGAATGAAACTGATTTTAGAAATGTTGTGTTTGAGGTATTTGACATAGCTATGAAATGAAAATGGAGAATGGAAACTTAAAAGAAAGGTAGAGGCTGGAGAAATTGATTTGAGAATGATCATCATAGATGGGTGCTGAAGCCATAGAGTAGTTGAGATTTGTAGGAAAAAGAGAACAGAGAAAGAAAAGAGAAACTTAAATTGTAAGACACATTGTCGTGCTTCTTTCATCTGTCCCCTTTTGGTTGCAGTCTATTTGTGGAAGGATGAGTGATCGCTGTGACTGTAACTTAGGAAGGATGGGGAGACATAGTGTGGTACAAGAATTGGGCTGAAAGGGAGACATTTCAGTTAAGGAAGTCCTTATTTTCTCAACTTTCTCATTAAAAGTGAAGCCATTAATGTTAAACCAACCAAAAATTTAGTAGTAAATTCATTCCTAGAACAAGAAATTGTCAGCATAGCAATTGTAGAGGGAAATTGAAGGACTTTATGCTAAGTCTGCCCTCATACCCAATGGAGTGCCCAAGTCCTGCTAAAACTGTCTGTATCATCAACGCCCCTACAAACTTACCTTATTCATACTGGACAAGGAAGCCCAGTAATCTACTAGACAGATCCAAAAAATAGCCAGGCACAGTGGCTCATGCCTGTAATCCCAGCACTTTGGAAGGCCAAGGTGAGAGGATCACTTAAGGCCAGGAGTTTAAGACCAGAAAATACAAATCGAATCTTGGTTTAGGTTTTAATTTAGCAATGGTTAGACAATAAAAACTCAATTTATTTATTTATTTATTTATTTTTCCTATAAGGTCTCAGAAAAGTCCACACAGGATTTCCATGCAAGCTTGATGTGTTCAAGCAAATTCACTGTCTTCCCCATGATAAAATCTGGATTGGAAATTTCAACTATCACTTTAAAGTTATTCAATTGTACTCAATACTAGCAACAAGACTGATTTCTATCTGCTACAAACCAACCATTCTGTAGATTTCTGGAATATAACAGCCTTGTGTCTAGGTTAAGACTGTACTTGTACTGCCTAGTAAAAACCACAGATTATTAATTTAGTTTCTGCTCCATCTCACTGGACACACAAAGATGCCCTGCACCAGAATCCTGCCAACTCCTACGACCATTTGGTAGAGTCTCACTGAAAATCAGTCTGCTGTGTATCTACCTGCTTTTGCCAATATGACTACAAGAGAAAAGGATAGAAAATGCAGGTGTCCAGTATAGCCATTGCTTTTCTTGCTCTCCCCTCAGCTTCCTCTTCTCTCTCCTTGAACCTGACCCGCTCATGCCCCCAGATTTTCTCATTGGGATACCACTTTAGTTACATTATGGGCTATGCTGCTTAGAGTAGACTCCCAACACAACAACATAGAGGATTTTTTTCTATCTCTTCTGTAGCAACCTAAGATGACGGGCAGTCCTGAGGGCTGGCAGCTCTGCTCCGAGATCATCCAGGGACCCACAACCTTTCTGTCTTCTTGTCCCACTGTCTCCAGATGTAGCTGTCCCCATCCTGGCTTCAAAGTAGCCGACCACCACCGTGGCCTGCAAAGCGGGGGAGGAGAAATAGGAAGTGGCACATTTCACTTATGCTCGCATCCCACTGGCCAGAGATCAGGAAATGTATTCCCTGCTGGGCAGCCATGTGTTCACTGGAATTTGGGGTGGGGGTCTTTAACTGAAGGAAGAAGGAAGGCACAGACTTTGGACGACATTAGCAGTCTCTGCCATAGCTAGTTCAGATTAGGCTTAGGAAATGCCAAGCCAGCCTGGGTGCAAAAACTTTGGTACTTTTCACATTAGATCCTTGAGAAGCCTGAACCATAGGTGCAATACTATTCATGTCTGTTGGGAACTTTTTATTATGTCTCAGGGATTGTGCTAAGTACTTTGTATATATAAACTTATATAACCCTTACAGCAAACATACATGTGGATATTGTCATCCCCATTTTAGAGATAAGAAAAAAATTGAATTTAGAGTAGTAAAGCAATTTTCCCAAGCTCAGACAGCTAAGCAGCAGTGTCAGGACACAGGATAGAGGGAGGTGGGCTTCTAGGCTTCTAGGTAGATTGAAATAAGCTGGACTATTGGACAAAGCTTCGAGCTAATAGGAATGGGACAGAAAGCTAGGCCCCATAAGTGGGTATAGGGAACCCAGGATGATGGCAGAAAGCCATTCAGCTTGGATGACCATGATGCTGGAGTTAAATAGATGATCCCTGGCCTGATTCTCACTCAGGCACTGAGAAAGGGATGTATTTACCCAGGAATGCACCAAACCCTGAGTCTAGTAGTAACTCACCATTTTCTGTCCCGTTCACTGGGTTGGGAACACCTGCATGGTGCCTTAGTAATCAGTTTCCATGTTTCAGGGCCTGGAAGGGACTCTGTCCTTATCAGTCACTCAGCACATACACTGAATGCCATCCCTTGATCAGACTCTGCTGAGGCCTTGGGGACATATAGATGAGCAAGAACAGAATCATCCTCCTTCTCACAGAATGCACAGAAGGGAAGACAGACACTAGATCCTCTGCCAACAATAACATGTCACCAATGTGGTGGTGGGGAAAGTGCCAAGTGGTGGTCATATCCCTCCATAACCAAGAGGGAGGGGTTCACCCATAACCAGGAGGGAGGAGCTCATTCCTAACAGGAGGGTGGGCCCATCCTTCCCAGAGAACCCAAGCAGCAATGCCCTAAGCAAGTGGCCAGGAAGACTGACTTGAGGACTAATGGCAAGGACGGGATGAGAGAACAACCAGAAAGTACTCTGTGCAGATGGCAGAACACAAGCATTGCTGCTTTAAGCAATGGTCCCATGGTTGCAAAACAAAGATGGCATGAGAGTTTTTAAATCCAATAACCAAATTATTATATTATTGCCTTTCTTCTTGAATCTTTATTTCCAAGATCCTGACTCTGATTTATTTTAGTTTGATCTTTTATCAAGGACTATCTTTTCCTGGTGACCCCTGCCTCCCTGGTATTGATGCTTCCATTCAATCCCTTCAACTTCACCCATCTGATTCCCTTCTCCTGACACTTTTTCCTGGGGCAACCAGCAGTTATGACAGACAACATCCTATAAATAACCAGTTGCTACAAAATGTTCTTAACAACAACTACTGTTAATGAAAATAAACTGCAAGAATATTTGCATCATCAGGCCACCTAGGGCACCCCTTGAACCCTTCCAGTTAGCAGATGATCTTAGGATCAGAAACGTACGTGATTGTGAAAGGGAATTAAGTGAGCAGCATTGGTAGATTGCTAGATAATCTACCAGCATTGGTAGACAAGCCAAGATTGGAGGCTGGTAGGTAGAGAATGGGGGCGGGGGGAAGCAATGGGTGTCTGTTGAGTTCAGACTCTCATGATTGAGTCCAGAATCAGCTCAGAGAGTAATGACAAAGAGTAAACAATCCTTTGGCAAAAAGTAAAAACAAGTCAAAAGTCTAAGAAGCAGTGTTTGCATCTTCGGAGGGTGCTATGGTTTGCATATCCGTTCCCTCCAAAACTCACGTTGAAATCCCCAATGTGGCAGCATTGGGAGGTGGGACCTCTAAGAGGTGATTAGGTCTTGAAGGCTCTTTTCTTACGAATGGATTAATCCACTCACAGACTGATGGGTTATCATGGGAGTAGGCCTGGTGGCTTTATAAGGAGAGGAAGAGAGACCTGAGCTAGCGTGTGAGCACACGCAGCTGCAGCCCCCTCGCCGCATGATACTCTGTGCCGCCTTGGGACTCTGCGGAGTCCCACCAGATGTGGCCCATTGACCTTGGACTCCTCATCCCCCATAACTGTAAGAAATAAGTTCCTAAGAACCTCACTGCCTTGTGTACCAACGTCTGTGAGCCTTGGCAGCTCCGGAGCCCGGGCAGTCTTCTATGGAAGGTCAGTAGAAGCAGTTGACTTATTTACCTCCACAGGAATAAGACTTGGCCTATTTTGGTTTTCAGTGAATTATGCCTTTTCGGTTTGGGACCCAGCCAAGGAGGTTTCCAGTTGAAGGAGGAGATTGTTCGATTGGGCTGGAACCAGGTCTGAGCTCCAGTGCTGCCTGTAATGGGAAGGAGATGTCACCAGCCAGGCAACTCCGAAGATGCCCTAGAAGTCATTGCCTGACAATAACTTATGTTCCCATCACTGTCCATGCAACAATGCGAAAGCCACCTGCATAAAGCAGCAAGGAAATGCACCCTAAATAGCATCATTAAGTCTTTTGTAGAGGTTGGACTAGGTCAAGTGTAATGGGCCAGTATCATCTTATGATCTGGTAAACAAATAAAAGTGGTGGCACCTTTGAAAAAAAAAAAAAAAGAAAGAAAGAAGTTCCTTTCCTTTATAAATTACCCAGTTCCAGGTGTTCTGTTATAAGCAACAGAAAATGGACTAAGACAGAGCAGTACGTTCTCCACTCTCGAGGTACTTTGTATATCAGACGGTGTTGCTGTGTAAATCACAAATACTTCATTCACTCCGTAGGTACTTATCTAACACCTGCTACATGCCACACAGTCTGCTAGGTACTAAAAATGACACAGTGACAGATAGATACAGTTCTTGCCATGTGGACAAAGAGGCACACAAATAAATCTATGATTATAAACTGTGATAAAGGCTGTGGAGGGAAGTTAAAGGGTTTGATGAACACTTTGAGAGGACAATCATTTCAATTAAGGGGCCAGGGAAAGTATCTCTGAGGAAGATATGTAAGCCCAAAATAAATAGGACTGGGCCAGTAAAGTGACAGGAGAAAGGAATGGCAAGGGACGTTGAACACAGAGGGGAAGGAATAAGAAGACCAAGCCATGGAGGAGGAAACAGAGGCCCCTGTGTTCTGCTGCACCCCAGCTCCCTGGGGACAGTAAGCCACAAGGGTCAGAAAATAGCTGCCTCTCAACCTAGGTCACCAGACGTTCAGTAGTAAGTTGCTCTCTGTCTTCAGGGACAAGATAGGAAGGAAGAAGTTATGAAGAGTTTGAATTCTGACTGCTGAGGTTGTTGCTAAGTCAATCCTTGAACTCCCAGGTTGAATTAATCATTAGACATTCTGAGTTTACATAATACTTTGACTACACTTTCCTGTCTCATTGCTGCTGTATCTTGCATCTTTACAATCCTTTTTCATTCTAGCTTCTGAGTTTATAGAACACAGAAATGTTTTACTTATAGTTATATCCTTGGAGTCTAGCACACTGACTGAAAAATAGTAGTTACTCTATAAATATGTAATAAATAGAAACATGAAAAATGCATCAATTAATCAGTCATTAGGTTCTGGAGAATTTTCTCATAATTCTTGTAATTGTCTTATGTGGGTTTAGTTTACATACATTATGTATTTTATATGAAAATGTCTAAAGGTAATAGTTTGATGAGAAATAGTGTTTTTGGGGGGTTTTTGGGTTTTGTGGGGGTTTTTTTGCCTGGTGTGGTGGCTCATGCTTGTAATCCTAACACCCTGGGAGGCCGAGGCAGGTGGATCGCTCAAGGTCAGGAGTTTGAAACCAGCCTGAACAAGAGCAAGACCCCTTCTCTACTAAAAATAGAAAGAAATTAATTGGCCAACTTAAAATATGTAGAAAAAATTAGCCGGGCATGGTGGTACATGCCTGTAGTCCCAGCTACTCGGGAGGCAGAGGAAGAAGGATTGCTTGAGCCCAGGAGTTTGAGGTTGCTGTGAGCTAGGCTGATGCCATAGCACTCTAGCCCAGGCAACAGAGTGAGACTCTGTCTCAAAAAAAAAAAAAAAAAGAAATAGTTTTTTTACATTATTGGATGATTCTCAAAATCTTAGTGAAAGAAATGAAAAATATATGCTGACCCAATCATTGAGTATGCTGCTAGTTATTTTCTTAAAACACCATCGGGGGTTATGGAGGCTAGGCAGCTGAAGATTGAGAGCCCTCCATAGCACCACCTGACTTCAGAAATAAATGCATCCATCCGCAAAAAAGCAAGTCAGCACTGAGTTCTTTTGTGCTCTCATTGAAAATCTGATGATTTCAACCAAAAAAGACTTACATTCCAAACTAATATCCTATGAATGTAATTATTCTCAAAATGTCCTACATAGAATCATTACATTTTGCACAACAATGCCAGCCACCCACAGTTGCCACGACTTTCACCACCAACAATGGCTGGATATCAAGTGTAATAGGACCAGACACCGCAAACAAATTAAAATGTGTGTCTTTGTCAAATGATACTGTTTCGAGGAGTGTAAGTGACATGGCAATTAATGTCTGTGAACAGCTGGTTTTAAAGATTAAAGAAAGTGATTATTTTGCCCAGCCAATGGACAGATACACCTAAATGTGCTGTGATACTGGCATTTCAAGTTACATTTCTGTGAAAGACTATGGATAAGAGCATGATGTTTAGGAAAAATTAGCCCAATGTTATAGTAACAGAAGATCATTTTGAAGCATTTCAAGAAACAACCCAGAATTTCAATATACCAAACAGGAATTATGGCTTACTGTTTATATGTTTCACAGCCTAATTACAGACTTATCAAGAAATAATTTGATTATAAGAAATGATTCTGATTCTTATTGGTCTTTAAAGAAGAGAAAGAGATAGAAGCAGAGTATCAGAGAGAGACTGAGAGAAGGGAACATGCTTCTCCATATTGGGAAGACTGTCATTGGTTTTAACAGGAGTATTACAAAATGGCTCTGTGATAAGGAAATCCTAAGGCCAGGAGTACAAAGTATATCCAAAGTCTAAATGCCACCATCACTTTAAATCAAAATGTTTTCACTAACAAATTATGGTGAGCTCTAGTGATCAAACTATCATAGTAAAGCCACAACATCCCAAAGGGATGCATCCTGTGAGCTACCAGATCTTAAGAACATTCTAGAACAGTACCACAGAACTAGCAATAGACTGTGTTTTGAAGGATAGTTTCACAAAGCAATCATACTCCTACTACTCCAAGAGATTTACTCCTTGGGAAACAAAGCCAATTCATTCATAGAACAAAGTTATTGAGGTCTTTCTTTTGTAATTCAGATACTTACCTCCAAATTACAGTTTTACAATGTTCTTGACTCCAACAAATTTACAAAGTGGGGAGTTGCTTCCACATAGCCAATGCCCTTATTGTACTTCAATATACACAAACATTTATAAAAGATTTTTAAAGAGGTGATTACATACTCAAAAGTTTCCTGAATTTTACTCCTTATTTGGAAAAATATGACAAATATTAACTGAGGCCAGTTAAGACCTAATTTCAGACAGGACCCCTGTCCTTAAACAATACTCTTTCTTTCCAGGATAGCTCCTTTTTTTAAAACAAGTAACCTTTATTTCTCCTCTTTATAGAGATACGTTTATCCCAGTATCTCAGAGGCCCAATAACAAGTCCACTAATTCTCTTTACCACAGGAGAACAAGGAGACACCAGGAGTCCTAGCCCTGTTATGAATAGAAGTTTTCTGGTATCCACACTGTTATCCCAGATTTCTTAAGGTACACTTTCCACACATGCTCATCCATGACCTGGCTGCATAGGAAATAGCTAACGAAATGCAAGTCATGAAATGGATTAGTTAGGAGTTAGGTCTTTGAGACCTTAATCATGAAGAAAGTCATCGAACAATAACTCAAACAAAGGTGAGAACAAGATCTCTCTAGTATAAGTCTTGCCTAGAAAGGAGAAGCTATGACTAAGAAATGACATGAATAGGTAGAGAGACAATAAGCTGGTTCATGTCCCTTAGTTTGAAGCAAAGGAACTCTGATTCGGTCAGGCAGGTAAATTATTAACTAGAAGAATAGCAGACTAATAAATATCTGAAAAATATTATCCTAGTAACAAAAACTGCAAGAATGAGAACAAAAGGAAACTAAGCTACAATGTTGTCTCAACAATTTGAACACACAGTGATGAAGAGGTCTATAGTTTTGGAAACAATGAGAAAGAAGCCAATCTAAGAGATACTGTCGAGAGTGAGTCAGCAGGACCTGGAAACATCAGACAGGAGCCTGAAGCAGGGGCTAGCATCAAAATAACTCCAAAATGTTGAGTCAGGAGCACACTGTAGAATTCAATGCAAAAGGAGGTTGAACCAGATAATCCCTAAGGTCCATCCCAACTCTTACAGTTATGATTCCAAAAGATGGAGACCTCACATTTAAGAAAAAAAAATTATAAGTCATCGAACTTTCTTAATTCTAAAAGTACCCACTGAGCAGAAACTATTTACCAGGTACTTTTCAAAGCCCTGAAAATGTAATGGTGAACAGGACAGGTCCTTGTCTTGTAGGGCCTCTATTCTAAAGGGAGTGTATGCACCAAAAAAGTCACTGAAGAGCTCTAACAGAGATTGATTCAATCCAATTTAAAATGACTTTTAAGGTCATTTTCTGCCTTGTATAGAATGGATTAAAGGGCTCAAGGATAAAGAAGTAAGATTCCTTTGAAGGCAGTTAGGGGCATGAAGGTGGCCACATTAGAGATATTAAAAAGAGGTGAAATTTAAAAGGTATGTGTTTCTGATTGGACTGCATATAGTCAGTGAGGTGGAATCTTGGACAATTGCTATTTCTGGCTTAAGTAATCAGAGATATGTGATGCCTTTTACTGTAATATGGAAAACTGGGGGGAGAAGGGAGAAGGGAAGTTTAAGGGAAAAACACTTATTGACTGGAAATGTAAGTAAGAAAAGATGTGGCAATTCATCCATCAATGGACATGTAGGTTGTTTTCAGATCTTGACGGTTGTGAATACAGCTGCAGTGAACATGGGGGTGCAAATATCCCTTCAAGATGCTATTCTAATTCATTTCAATAAATACCCAGAAGTGGGATCACTGGATCATATTGTAATTCTATTTTTAATTTTGGTGTATACATACAATGGGATATTATTCAGCCATATAAAAGGAATAAAATCTGCGATATATAACAACATGGATAGACCTTGATGACATTATGAAAAGTGAAACAAGGAAGTAACAGAAGGACAAATACTGCATGATTCCATTTACATGAGGTAACGAAAGCAGTCAAATTCATAGAGACAGAGAGTAGAAGATGGTGAGACAGGGGTGGTGACCAGGGGCTAGGGGAGGGGAAAATGGGGAGTTGCTATTCAATAAATAGAAAATTTCAGTTATGCAAGTTGAATAAGTTCTAAAGATCTGCTCTTCAACATTGTGC